ATGGGTCCATATTTCATGAAAACCTAACAGGGTTTTAAGGGAATGTAGATGGGGGTTACCTAACTCATGATTTTCTGCCATTTTAGCTGTTAGATTGCAAACAGATAAACAGAACTGTTAGCCTTCTTACCAGATCAGCGGTCGGGGTCACCAGTGTCATACCTCGGTGTTCTTGTACCTCGGTACCTTCGGTGGTCTGGACTGTCAGTGTCAGAATCATTTGGTCAGGGTCATCCTGGCGCACTCCTGACAGGACCTCTACTCCGTCAGTGATAATAAACTTTCGGCTGCGTGCGTAACAATCGGTACTCCCCTTATCTAGAGTGTTAGATCCCGTGCACTTGGGTCAACACAGGAGATCTCTGAGAGGCCCCGGAAACGACAGATGCAGGCAAGGTTTGAAATCAATTGAGCAGGTTTATTGTCAAATGCGAAGCTCTACCAGTTGGTAACAGAGATCAGTACAATGTTACACCACTGGGTGCTATGGCCCGCGTTGACAAGGTACCAACACCAGGCAGGCCTATTGCCATATATCAGATATTAACAGCAGTTAGTCAAAGTTAAGCTACTGTGCAGTCTGTAAGTTTAGGCAATAACACCTGCCGTTCAGGCGCCTAGTGCACCCCCCCCAGGTCGGCCGGAGAGCACCCTCTGCAGTATCCTTTTATAGACAGGTACAAACAACTTACATCATTTCTTTACGCACCAGGTTACCACCCTCTGTTGCCTAGTTACCACCCCTCACCTTACGGAAGGGGGGCTTACTTATTATCCTTCATGCTGTCAATCTCGACTCGGTCCTCAGCCTAGGTCGGTCTGTGCATTAGTTTTTAGGGAGTTTTTGTACCAAGACATTTCTTATTAAGATGTTCCGTTACTCCCCTTTGGGTCACAGTCTGTACCCAGTGCCTCCCTGTGTCCTTCCATGCTCGACCTAATGTACACAACCACACAGTTATCAGTAGGGCCTCTTTCTTGGCTCCTGTTACTGAACCAAAGTCTTGTTCACTAGATTGCAGGCCTGTTGCTGTTCTCATGTTACAGGCCTCTGTTTAGGCCTGCTGACTCCATGTTACTGACCCACAACTTACTACAGCATGAGTTGAAGTAAGAAGTCTTCCAGCTCAACAATATTTCAACATTATTTACATATATTATTTACAAATAACTACTTGTAGTGTTGAAACGAGCTATGTTATTCTGAAATAACATTGCTGTGTAGATGTACCCCCAGTTACCTATTCAATTAGGGCTCCATTAAAAACAGGGGGGGAATTTCGCTTCCTCTTTGGGCTCACAGGAATGTTCCTATACTATAATATGCTGTGATGTTTTCCACAGCCCCTATATCCTTAGTGAAGATATCGACAATACAAACATTCTAGACACTTGCATAAAATACAAAGCAGAACTCATCATTCGGGGTAGGCAGGGTTGGAGCATCCATCACCCTTGTTTCAAACTTGACCAAGCTCTAGATGCCTCCTCTGTCCATGTCCACTATGGTCTTCTGAGATGAAAATGGGCCTGTATGGGCTTGTATGGCCCAGTAGTCAGCAGCAGCTGCTGGTACTGGCCCATAAATGTCTTACGTCAAAGCACTGCTGCGGCAGCACGTCAACAGTGCTGCCACTTTTGCTCACCTCTGTCGATAGCCCTGCGTGGCACTACCTCAGCTCCAGGATGCCTCAGGAGTAGGCCGTGCCCGGGGGGTGGGGTCACATTTGCCCCCTCCCACTCCCATTTTTTGAGAGACAGAAACATGGTTGCTTGTCCTGCGTGCTAAAATGCTTAGTTAAGGCTCTGCATTAGGCATCTAATAGGATTTTCAAAAGCACCCAGGTGCTTCATTCCCATTGGAAGCTCAGTGCCTAGGCACCCTTGAAAATCCCACTAGGTCCGACATCAAAATCCCTCTGAAACTCTGGGACCAAGTGACTTGCCGGAGGCCACCCAGAGAGTCTGTAGCAGAGCAGGGAATTCTACAGCCTGACCTGGGAATTCAACTGCAGCATCTCGGATCCCCTGAGCTCTGTCTGCTCAGGCAGCAGGTGGTTGGTTATTGCTTCCTATCTGTGTGTTCTGGGGCTCGCCAGCTCAGCCCGGCTGTTGCCCTGACCCAGGGCATGCCTGTCAGACCGTAGTTCTATCATGTGCAATAAAAAAGGAGACTCCGACCCTAGAGGCTCCCGTTGGACACCGCTCCCCTGAGCGCGCCGTAAACAGCTGCGTGTGGTTACCCTTTGTACCCCGCGCCCCGCCTGCCCCTTCCCGCGTCTGGTATCCAAGGGTGTCCTCTTAGACGGGCCTTAAACAATGGGGGAGGGGAGATCACCCTGGGGCCTGGGTAGTGACTAGGGTGTCTTGGTAAATTCCCCCTGGGGGTTTGATTGCGACTGTTCTCTCCCGTTCTCCCCTGCTGAGCCTCTTTTCCTGGAAATAAAAATGTGGCCACATAAAAGAGCAGCCGATAAAACCCCTTTGTCAGATTCTCTCTGCTCCTTGCTCTTCGTTGCCCGGGCTTTGCCGCCGTTGCACCACCGGTGGCCCGGGAGCCACATCTTGGCAGCCAGCGATCTCCCCATGTCTCTGCAGAATCCCTCGGCTCGGCTCAGCCTGCTGCCACCTTCTGGCAGTGAGCCACATCTTGGCAGCCAGCGATCTCCCCATGTCTCTGCAGAATCCCTCGGCTCGGCTCAGCCTGCTGCCACCTTCTGGCAGTGTCACTGTCGGGGCAGGGGGGGGGGACCCCAGGGAGGCCAAGGAGGCGCCCA